CTTTTGAGTTTGTCCTTTCTCGTTTTCGTGCTTGATGTCTATTTGCTTACCGTAAACCAAAACGCCCTCTGTTTCTTCTGACCTGTACTTTGTCTATTTTGCTCTGACCTTTGATTTATTCTTTGTTAATTGGTCCTTTCTTCTGGGTACTTTGTCTATTTTGCTCTGTCCTTTGTTTGTTTGTATGCTTCTTTGTTTGTTTGTATGCATCTTTGTTTGTTTTTGTGACTGTTGATATTGGCCCCTTTGGCGCTCCATACATCAGATCATCCCCAAGGTCTGAGGACCTATCTACGCCACTGTATGTATGTATGTATGTGTATGAATAAGCAAAAAAAAAAAAAAAAAAAAAAAAAATCGCCCTACCTACCCTAATTTTCAGTGACCCGTTACGCCAAGTCATCAATTTTTTTTTTTAGGCCTAAGCGTATTTCGCCTGACTGTAATGTGGGAATTTCTTATATTCCAACAAACGCATAAAAAGGTATGACTTACAAAAAAAATGGAGAAAAATGCCGGAAAATCATGTCACAACATCAACATTTATAAATCACCTGTTTCGAATAAGAAATACATTACCCCCCCCCCCCTATCAGTACGCCAACGATATGCGCGTATCGCTATTATAGAGACTCAATTTAAAATACCGTATAGGTGGCACGCGCAATGTTTATGAAATTTAATTCCTGTGAACTTTCCTTTTTCTTTGAGTGGAATTGTATATGTGATTTAATTCAGGTTTTTATTATTGTTACGTTCTTTTGGATTAAAAATACAAACCATGTTTACTCCTTTACTGTTTTTTTTTTTTTTGGAGGGGGGGGGGGGCGTTTTTTTTTTTTGGGGGGGGGGGGGCAAAAATGCGTTTTTTTTAATATACGCTGTCTTGGATTTCGTTTTCTTATACATGTAAGTAGCATTTGTTTTTATATTTGTATTTTCATTTATTCACTTAGTCAATATAAATGCAGAACCTCTCGTTTTAAACAAAGTGCAATACCAAATTGTATTGATCTTCTTAATCATCGCTGATTGTTTTAAGTTTTTCTTTAAAAACCCAATCTTTTTTATTTCTATATTTGAGCAGTTGTCTTTTTAACCAGACCATTATTTTATCTGTCATGGTTTTGTACGATTATGTTGATATGTTTCATGAATAGATATTCTTTCCTATTTATATGTATCCTCAATACTTGTAAACATATACATTTCAGCTTTTTACTGAGCTGCACTGGCTACAACATGTGCATCCTACTCTATGTTTTTCGAAATAAAACCTTGAATTGAATCTTTAATTACCTTCAAACAAAATTCTGGACAATTATGAGCTTGGTTTTCATTTTTATTTAGGTCCAAAAATCCCCAAGATGTTAGGCCGGTATTCGGCGAAAGTTTCAAGGACGATTTCAAATGCTAAGAAAAAAGATAAAAAACAAATCTGGCCGCCCACCTCGGGTGCAAATGTAACAACGTAGGAACTAGTATAATTTTCCCCACAATTAACTGGAACTAAATATAATGGCAATGTGTCAAGCATTTGTCATAGTTTTTGATTAAAATTATCTTATTGGGGTTCTTTAAAATGATGTTTAATTGTTGAAAATCTGTCCACCTTTAATAATCAAAGAACAATATATATATATATTTCTGAGGTATATGATTTGTTGGTACAATGTATATCATTACAATTGCCCCATGGGTGTGGCAAATATAACACTTGACTTCCGGTTATGAAACGATAATGGCTTCAAAATAATAAAAAATCATGCCAATATATGCACCTTTAAGTAAGTATTTAACTAGAATAAAGTTGATATGTCAGAATTATAAAAAATATTTACAATTGTAACATGGCTACATGCAGGGAACAGTAGCAAACCGAGAATAAATATAGAGTTAGTGAATTGCCAACTATCTTTGTGTCAAGTTTAGCTAGCGGTACAGTGCCCCCCACCCTTGAACTTTTTTCAATTACCCCTAAAATGCCCCTGGTTACAAAGAAAGAGTGCCACTTTAACTTTGTAAAAAGTGCCCTATCCCTTTTATGTCATGTTCAGTGTTATTTTGGATTTCCTCATTTTCGTAAATTAACTTTTACAACATTGCATTCAGCTACATGTATGAAGAACTACGCCGGGTCAAGACACTTCCTGTCACATACAAACGAAGCTTAATCTGAATGTGGCCTGATATATATTGATCCTCGCCGGGGACAAAGGGCGTTGCCCTAGCTACAAGGCCACGGAGTAGATCCTTACATAACACCTATCGTTCAGGGATGATCCTACATGTATGTTGAAACCGGGGACAAAAGTAACACGTTGCAGAGCTAGGTAACGGAGCTATATGCTCCATGCATCCCTATATTAGGAACACGCTCTACCACCGACCATACACATTTCGTTGCCCCACATCTGTCCTAAGGGAATTTAGACAGGTCCATGGGCAGGTCAATATATCGAGGAACTTTTTACAGCCAAAAACATCGGAAGTAAAATCTTGAATTACCTTTAAGAAAAAATCTAGACCAATAAGAGCTTGATTTTCATTTTTTATTTAGGTCCAAAAAACCCCAAGATGTTAGGCCTGTATTTGGCGAAAGTTTCATGGAGGAATTCTAATTCTAATGAGCAGTAAAGTGTTGCGTAATCCAAGTGGTATATACATGTAACATTATCCTGGTACTATTATTTTAACAATCAATTTGTATGTAAAAATGCTTTCAGTACTTCTTTCTTCGATTAAAAAAAAAAGGAAATTAACTCGTTTTCAGTCATATTCTTTTAAAATTGTTGTATCATTGATAAATGTTCAACATGATTCAGTATCGCGTCTGGCAAACTGATATGTACATTTTAAATTCGATTCTATATGTTTGAAATAATGTTATCTAAGTGTGAATAAATCGCTGGAAATTGAACATAACTCAAAGTCTGTATTTTATGTTGTGTTATTTTTGTACGTACATGTATTTCATTTACTATATACAATACATGTTTAGAATGTTTGCAACTCGAGGAGATTTCCAGAGAGTAAAGAGAGATTGGGAGGGTAAGAAATATATATATATATATTTAGAGAGAGAGAGAGAGAGAGAGAGAGTGGGGGGGGGGGGGGAGAAAAGTGAGATATGTACAGTATATTAAAAAAAGAGTAAAATAGAGTGTTTGTGTGGACATACAAAGAAAATATTATAATTATAATTACGATGATAATACCATTAATAAGAATTAGACAAATAGTAACAATAATAATAATGACAATGATAATGCAACGGTGAAGAAAAATACTATAATAAGCCCTCAAACAGCTTCCTGAAAAACAGTCAACTACAATGACAAATTATTAACAGAGTAGAGAAATAAAGATAAATAGATTTTCTCTCTACTTAGATAAAATCCCCATCGCGCGATCATTTTTTTTCTTCCTATTTAGCTATCTCTCTCTCACACTCTCTCTCTCTCGCTCTCACTTTCATCCACTGCCCTTTTATCTTACTCCCTCTTGCTGTCATTATGTTTCACTCTCACCTTATTGTTTACCTTTCCTCTCCGTTTCACAGCCTTTCTACTTATCATGTCTATTTTTCACTTTGTTTTGCCCTTCTGTATTTCTATCACTCTATTTCATTATCTCTTTTTTTCGGACACCTTTTTTTGCTTTCGTCCTCCCTATTTCTCTCTTGCATAGTTTTTTTTCCTTCTTATCTTTATCATGCCCTTTCAAGCCTCATTTCCCTTTAAAATGTTCCCTTCTCCTCGTAGCCATCTTTTTTCCTTTACTATTTCATCTATCATGTCTTCCTCTTTCTGACGTTTCACTACCTCGTCTCACGGGTCAGTATACGATACTAGAAAGTGATGAGGTTTATACACGAATATAAAGTACTGTAATTACCCGATGAATACTGAAGGTAAGTGGTGAAGAAAGCAATCGATGTAAACAAGACACGATTAAACGATTGTGCAGCTGGTCGAATCATCCTACCAATGCCCTCATAACCATATTTACACGATTACACGGTTACACGTTTGTTGCATCTGGTCGAATCATTCCACCAATGCACTTAGCTATTTACACGATTACACGATTCAGAGCGACATTCTTCAATCGTGTAAATTTACACGATTACACAGTCACACGATTGTTACATCTGGTCGAATCATCCCACCAATGCACTTAGCTGCACGATTACACGATTCAGAGCGACATTCTTCAATCGTGTAAATCTACACGATTACACAGTTACACGATTCAGGTGAATCGTGTAAACCGTGTAATCCAAAAAATATATCGTGTAATCGTCACTATGAACATGAATGACAAAGAAAGCGGACAAAATATACAGTTTCTCAGGTACATAAAGGAACATCCCTTCACTGCTATTATGTAAAAAGGTGAATATGCATGTGACACCTGTTCTACATGCACATTTTTACATAATAGCAGTGAAGGGATGTTCCTTTGTCTACCTGAGGAACTGTATATTTTGTCCGCTTTCTTTGTCATTCATATTCATAGTTGGAGATTTTCGCGTGTACTGTATGTGCCCCCCCCCCCCCCCAAAAAAAAAAAAAAACCCATCAAACTCTGGCTACGGCCTGCTTAATTGCTCTGCCGTGTAGAGCTATATAATTACATGCAAGGATTCAATAATTCATGATGATAACTTTTACAGGGGGGCTTACACCCTACAAGCTCTGCTTTTTAGTTTGCCCTCCTTCCCTTTCAATTTCATGTTGATTTTTTTTAATGTATTGTATTGTGCAAATTGATCTATATGTATATAAATATGTGAATATGTTAAAATGTACCATCATTGTAAATATGAACGATTGAAAGAGGAAAAATAAATGAATTGAATTGAATTGAATTGAATAATGTTTCAGATCACAGGTAGTATCACCCCCCCCCCCCAATACATTCACCAACGGCTTATCATTATTGTTGCCAAATGAAATGCCCAACGGTATAAAACATAAGAGATCCTAAATTCCTACCTGAGTTGGAAGAGACGTGCGCAGCAGAACACACAAAATAGCCACGATATTCTTCATAATTCCTTCAACAATTAGCCTATATCTATGACCGCAAACAGAACCGTTTGGAGCAGGTTATATGATCAGGGTGCAGACCGTGTGTGTTCTCAGCTTGAATTGTAAGCAGTAGATCTTGACAGACTGCAATTTGTCTCCATGGTTGAGTGATTCAGAAAGAGCGAATTGGTCTAAAACCATTTTTTTGAGCGTCCATTTTTTCGGAGCGTCCGATATAATTGTCGGGGTGATTGTCCCGGGACGGATGGCCATGATTAGAAACAAAATAGATTGATTGATAATAATCCTGTGATTCGGTATTTTAAACTGTTGTACACGCGTGTACTTGAAAATAATAGTGTGTCCAATGGCGTACGCAGGAGTTTTTCAAGAGGGTGCTACATAATATAAAATTGGACGGCATCATTATAATGTGACCCCGCGAGCTAGGTAGCGAAGCAACCAAAAAGGAGAGGGGGTGGGAGGGGGTTATTCCACCCATCGTTGTGAATTTTGATATCCTAGCTTTTAAAAACATGGGGTTTTCCTGCATTTCAAGTTTTCCCCTCCATATTTTACCGAAAATAAAGATAGACATATGAAATAGAAGACATACATGTACGTTACAATGATACTCAATCCACATGTCAGATTAAGTAAAATGTGAGGAACCTATATTGAAAAAGCGGTGCTTGTATATTATAGGTTCCTGATAAGTAGATGAAACTGTAGCAGTAGATCGAGGCAGCAGGGAGAGATGTAACTTAGATTTAATTTAATTTTAACACAATGGAATGAGGACATTTGTATACAAATACGTTAGCACCAATACCTAGAGTCACCTGGTTAAAATGCGTATTAGTCAGCCATGCAAATTGGTTAGCAAGGCTGACGTATGGATATAGTAATTAATTCAAGAATATAATACACGAAAGGTCAAGCTGCATCAGATTGCTCTCTCCCCATATATATTTCTTTCTTTCTCTCCCTCTCTGTCTCTCTTGCTCGATCCCTGTTTAAATGTCTTTCTTTCTCTCTTTCTCGCTCTCCATATCTCTCTATGTCTCTTCCTGACCTATATAATGTTTCTTTCTATTTCTCCCTCTACCTCTCTCTTTGTCTCTTCCTCTATATGTTTTTTTCTTTCTCTCCACCTCCCTCTCTCTATGTATCTCTCTCTCTCTCTGTCTCTCTCCCTATTCAGCATCTGTATATATCTTTGTCCTATCATTTGTATCTCTTTGTCATGTAATTCATCTCAAAAGCATCAAACATTTAGGACAAAATGCTGAAATACACTGAAAATCATATTTTATACATATATTTTAATCTATGTGCCATAGAAACGTCTTAAGAAGACTTCACATAATTATTCTCTTGGCATAACAAATCTCATTATATTTTATTCTGATGGCTTACTTGTTATAAAACATAACAGGTTTGCAGAAATGGGTCAGTCTTGCTTATATTCCTTCTATGAAATTTCAAGCAGAAGTATGTGTTTTTAAAGTAAATTACCCATCTTTCTTGTTCAAAATGACAAGGTAGACATTTTGTCCTGCCTTTAAATCGATTACTAGTATTACAATCAGTACAGTGTTTTTAGCACTTTTAGTACCAAATTTGTCATTTTTCAAATACACAAGCATTTCAGAATAAATCTTTGTGGTTTACATTCTCCTCTCATGATCAATTTCAAGGAGGTATTTAGAAGGCTATAATTTGTGGCATACATTTCACATTGTATGGATAATAAATAAAAGTGTTTCCTCAAATTCTGTTGAAACTTGACACTATCTGAGCCTAAAACTGAATCTTTGAGGGGAAAGCCTTGACAAAACAATGATATTCAAACTTTCATGAAATTAGATGATGCCTCAATATTTGCAAAGGATTCTCATGCACTACATACACATCACTTTCCTTATTCAAAAAGGGAAAGAAAGCTTTCAGTACCCTTGCCCCATGCAGTTTAGTCATTAAGCTAGACATGTGTTTCAAACATTCCAATATAGCTAGTAGTCTGACTCAGGCCAGTTCATTGGTATTCTGCTTGGTTCTGTTAAGATTCTGGGCCAGTATTTAATTCACTGATTATCTTCAAAATATAGTTTTTTACTAAGTTTTCAGCTTAGCTCAAATACTTAGCCAACTTTGGTATTCGGTTAAAGCTTTTGGCTGAGTATCGTACCTTAAACTGAAGACGGCCATCAAGCAGACTTGAGCATATTATTTTGGAGGCCTTGATTGGCAGGTCCGTGGTTTCTATACACAATTATTTAGTTAATTGCACATTACTTTGGAATAACTATGTGACGTCACAATGCTTGGGCAATCTGTATTTTGCCTAAAGCCGGCTTTCTAAAGTATAGTACTTAGATGTGATCTGAATACATGAAAAACGTTTTACTGAGCTAAGCCACATACTAAGTAAAATACTGAATTAATCCCCATTCTGAATTGAATATGGCCCAAGATACCAGTTTAACTTGTGCGTACTACCACCATCAGAGAAGACAAGAGCCGGGGAATCGTGGAAAGGGAATGACGTCTCGTATGTGGTCCACGCCAAGCAAGAATTGTAGCAGACGCTCAAAGCCAAGTCCGAAACCACCGTGGGGAACAGTTCCAAATCGCCTTAAATCTAGATACCTGTCAAAGTAAAAGGGAAAATAATATAATATCTCCTCCTAATTAAGTCAAACCTGCTTTAATGACGACATGTCTACAAAGACCACATTGTTTGTCCCTTGAAAATGGTTTCTCATGGAAACATGTACTTAAGGAACCTGTCTACAAAGACCACTTGTCTACAAAAACCGTTTGTGTTTCTCGTGGGTTGTTGCTATAGACAGGTTTGACTGTATATCTCTTAATTTCATTTGCTCTCTATTTTTATAAAGGAGGTCAACTCAAAATCCAAAGCACTACACAAAACATTGAAGAATGTGTCATATAAACAATAAAATATCAGCAGATGTTCCGTATGGAACGAGAAGGGTGTTTACTCATACACAGAGTTAATGCCATTCTGGCTCTGAACAGTGGAAACACAACCTTGCTATCTCTGGTCCTTTGCCAAGACATTGATCTACATTTGCCACACTCCACCCAGGTGAAGTAAATGGGGACCTGGTAGGAATTTATTCCTTGAAACGCAAAGCGCATGACAGCTGCTCTACCAAAGCCAGAGTAATTATGCTGCATTATTGTAGAGCGCTTAGACACTTCTGATAAAGTAAGTGTTAGGCGCCATATAAGCAAATATAATTGTTTTTATCTATATTTGTCACAACAAACCTTGTTTAATATAGGACACTTTCATTCAATCTACTGATCTACATATATCTGTTTTTTTTTTCCTATTTTGATTAATACTGGAACCAGCAAAAAGGTTCTACATACCATTGGTAATCATCCTGTAGTCCTGAGTGTTGTATTCTACGCTGGAGTACATCTAGGCGTTCCTCCCTTAAACTACCACCTATCAGCTCTCCTATCCTCGGTACTAACAGATCTACAGCTGCTGCCTGTTAGAGTAAAACATAAACCATCTTCGACATTCATGATAACTCTATCAGTTTTCTATAAAAAATGCATAGAGAAGGCAATTTTGAAGAGAGATATATGACTTTTCATATTTTGTTTTTCAATGCATGTTATGTCTATACCCCAATTGACTTTGCCTCCTTCATATGAATGTATAACCATGTATGTCTATATGTATATTGTATCCTTAATAAATATCACAAATTTCCTTTGCTAAAAGCAAGGTCAACAAAGATGAACCCTAAGAACCTATTTTCAATATCATCATGATATTGCAAAATTAATTTTTATTTTCTATCATTTTGGGGTAAGAAAGACATCCAATCATGATTATAATGCATAACCTACTCTATTTACAAGAAATTGGAAATACCTGTGACCAACAGTTCATAATCACTTCTAGATCATTTACTTTTTGTCCTTTCTCCTTAAAATGAATGTCCTCACTGTTTTATCACTGCCTTTCTTTTTAGCATTCATGTAAAACGGTTGAATATCCTATGGTAGTCTACCACAAAGAATGCAATGTTACACAGACCCATCCATCTCAATCAATATATATTTTACCACTTCCACCACAGTTTCCAGACCCAACCTTTCCATGAGCTCACTCGGTAAAATAATAACAAAATTAATAAATATTATTCTTACAATAGTAGGGTTAATATCCCTGAAGGCTCGTTCAGATATGGTGTGGTAAACCTCCGCAAAAAGCCACAGCTTTCATTTACGTGTTAATGAATGGGAAATGCATGCAGCAAAGGACTTGCGCATATTCACTGCGCTCTGTGTTATAAGATACAGAAACGTGAAGCGTACTGCATCATAAAAGAACAAAATATTTTCAAAGATGCTAACGGCTTTCCATAATTGTTAAGTCCAATTAACGCGCTCATCCCGTGCAGGGCTCCAGTTTCCAGTGGGACGTGTTCATCGGGACGTGTTCAAATGTGGGATGAACACGTCCCACTGGAAACTGGAGCCCTGCACGGGATGAGCGCGTTAATTGGACTTAACAATTATGGAAAGCCGTTAGCATCTCTGAAAATATTTTGTAAAAGTTATTTAAAAAGGCATAAAATGTTGATTCAAATCATTCATAATTTCTATTATCAAGGAGATTTCATGTTCTTGATGTGGAATTTATGAAAAGTCTAAAATACTTGATTTTTTGCCTTTGAATATATTTTATTTTAAGGCTACAAATGGCTCTCCATAATGTTTTTAAGTCCAACTTACAGTTCAGTTCGACTTAGGATGTTTGTGAAACGGAATGCTTTCACAGTGTACTTACCGTTTTATCATCGCCATTCTGCCTGGCATAGAAGGGTTTAATGTCTTTGGGATAGTCTACTACAAAGACTGGGATGTTTCCACAGTGATGAACTAAGAAGGTTTCATGTTCAGAATGCAGGTCAATGCCCCACTGACAAGGAGAAAAATGTAATGAAGAAGAGATGATGGTTGACAATTGCTTTGCTTTGAAGAAGCACTAAAACCAAGATTATTCATTTGAATTATAGGCATGTGAGCAAATAGAGAGAGAGGGGGAAATGGAAGAATAAAAAGTTAAGAAAATATGTTACAACAAGAACTGAGAAATCTAGCGACAGACTGGAAGAATGAGTCAGAGGCAGATTTTAAAGCTATAAAGAAAGAAAGAAAAAAATAGTCCACTGTTATGAAGCGATATAAAGGACTAGAAAGCAACCTGATCATATCGTACAGTCGACCTGTCTATTAAGGTTACCCAAGGGCATCAGAAAAAACTGCCACTATTGACAGGTGGCCTCTGTAGACAGGTTCAACAACACACAATTTTCTTTCTTGAGGGAGACAAAATACATTGATGATATTACAAAGGTGGTCTTTATAGAGAGATGTCCGCTGGGACAGGTTTGATTGTGTAATTATACTTACTGATGGCGTGAATTCAAATTGATCTTTATGTCTTTCCAATATTGAGATGGCTTCTGTATAGGGCAGTCTATAACAAAGAAAATGAGAGAGAGAGCGATAGAGAGGGGGAGAGATAGAGAGAGAGAGAGGAGGGGGAGAGAGAGAGAGAGAGAGAGAGAGAGAGAGAGAGAGAGAGAGAGAAAGAGATAGAAAGGAAGGGAGAGAGAGAGGGGGAGGGAGGGAGAGAGAGGGAGAGAGAGAGAAAGAAAGAGGAAGATAAAGGTAGAGAGAGATGGTTTTAAGACAAGAGGACGAGGGAATAGATGACAAAAACTGTTATGCAGTTTGTTGTAAATCATGAAGCTATGCTCAGTAATATGAACAAAAATCTTCTCATGAATAAAGAGCTTTTCGTGTACTCTTCCAATCATAAAAATATCTATCCAAATCTAACATACTGCCCTATTGACCTAGACATTAATTACGATCTACAATCTGTCATATTTATGTACATGTCACATTATCATGAAATGTCATGACAAAAAATATAATGATAAAAGTTATAATATAAGTGGGTTCTTGTATAGCGCTCATATCTGTCAGACTTGACATGCCTAGCGGTCAACAATTATTTCATCCGGATTTCAGCATGGCTTGTCTTAGAGCACTCTAGCATGTTAAGGAATGAATTTCTGCCAGGTACCCATTTACCTCACCAGGGTCGAGTGGGGCAAATGTAGATCACTGTCTCGCCAAAGGACGTTAGTGATGTAGCAGGGATTCGAACCCTGTACCTTCAGGTTCACAGTGCACAGACTTATTCACTAGACCAAAACACCTCTAAATGACGTGATTCATGTCATATCATTTCTTAAATTGACATTTCATGATAATGCTTTTATAATAAAATATGATGTAGAGGGTGATGAGAGAGGTGGCTAACTTCAAATTTAAAATCTGTATGCTAAATTCAAATGCTTTATTTTACATTCAAATTCTCTTAAACTACAATATTCAAATTCTTTACACTTACGTCATAAATGGTTTCTGCAATGCAGTTTGTACTTCTTCCTGCAAAGTGAAAAAGCAGAATATGAATTCTCTATGGACAAGGACGGCTACATGAACAAGTAGCAACCATGCTACACATGCTCTCTCTTACGTGGCTTATTGCACACTCAGGGGGGGGGGGGGGGTGTTTCACAAAGATCCTAAGTTGAACTTATCTTTAAGTTGGACTTAACAATTATGGATAGCCATTAGCATCTATGAAATATTTCATATAAGTTATTTTAAAAGGCATACAAGGTTGATTCAAATCATTCATATTTTCAAATATCAAAGAGATTTCATGTTCTGGATGTGGAATTTATAAAAAGTCAAAAATACTTGAATTTTTGCTTTTGAATATATTTAATTTTAAGGCTACAAATGGCTATCCATAATGTTGAGGTCCAACTTAGAGTTTATTTCGATTTAGGATCTTTGTTAAACACCTCCCTGGACTTATACATTTCACCACATTCACCCTACCTACACATATTCATATGGATCGCTCATCTGTCGACAGACAGGTTGAGGATGAGTTTTGGTAAAGATAAACGATAATTTGCGAGCTTTCGCATTCTTCGTAGATCACATTTAGAAGAATACCATGTCCCCTGATAGAATTGCAGTTAACATGCCCTCATATGCAAACTATGGGAATAAATAAATGATTAGTTTTTAACAGAGATCTTTGTGTAGTCCCATATACCAATTTCTGCGGCAGTGCACGTAATTTGCAGCAAGATTGATAAAAATCTATGCAATTTTGATCTTTTCAAAAGTTCTCAGTATACATCAATTTCTATGTACCTGTACTACATAATCAAGCAATTCAAATCGCATCCATTCCTTTCAGAATGTGATCACATGACCAGTACTCCACTCAACGTTAAGTTGATAAGTTTCTGCTAAAGAAGATCTGCTAAACTACAACTTACCATGTTTCTGGTGCCTTCCATGGTTCGTTCACTGATGAACTGAACATCTTCTGAGCACTTGGTATACACAGCACTGGCAACAGATTTCACAAATTGTTCCATTACCTAGAAAAAACATTGTTACATTGTGGTTTTCAAATCATTTTCATTTCATAGAAGTAAAAGAATAGTATCCGTTCCATGTAGATAAATTTAATGGTATCCGGACACCTACTCCCTGAACAACATCTCCCCCCCCCTCCCCGGATAACCACCCCCAGTCAAATACCCCCTAGGACAACTACCTTCCAGGACTATCCTAGGGGGGGGGGGGGGGTATTTGTCGGGGGGTATTTGTCGGGGGGTATTTGTCCTAGGGGTTGTTGTCTGGGGGGTAGTTGTCCGGGGGTAGCTGTCCTGGGGGGGGGGGAGGGGGGGGTAGTCGTCCTAGAAGGTGGTTGCCCTAGGAGGTAGTTGTCCTAGGGGTAAGTTGTCCTAGGGGGTAGTTGACTGGGGGTGGTTATCCGGGGGATGGATGTCCAGGGGATAGGTGTCCTAGAACCAAATTTAACTAATGAATCACTCTCGCTATCATCTCTCCCTTCAAAAGCATCATATCATTCTAAAAAAACTAACTTACATCAAATGTTCTGTGTTCCAACATCAGCCTTTAGAGAATAAAGGCAAAAGAAAAGGAGTTAATTTCATAGGTGTAGAAATCTTCACATTTCTTGCAATTGTTTACCATATGTATGAAGGTCCTAACAACTTAACAGCATTCAGAAGAACAAGATTATGATAATTAGTTTCATCTAGAGAGTGTAAAGCTCCAGCTATGAATGGAAAGGGCAATGTGGATTACTACAGAGTAACTGGGTCAAGTGCCACCTATATCATTGTAGTAAAGCTCTGAAATAACATCATACAGTATAACATCATCAATAATTGTGATTAAATTGTTATTACAATGCCAAGTTCTTTGCTTTTATGCCAGAATCTGTGAGAAGCATACTGCAAAACCAGAATATTTCATGCATGATATGTTCAATAATTTTCATGACTGGTGTCTCATGCCACAAAAAAATTGAATCACAAAATATTGAAACCAAAAAAAGAATTAATGTGCACTACACAAAAAGTTTGTTGCCACGAAAATGACTGTCGTTTACAATTTATGAATGTTTCACGTCACTTAAAAACTTGGGATTGACAGTAATGGCAAGACTAAAAAAGAATACAGGGCAGTGTTTCACGAAACCATCATAAGCATATGTTCGCCGACAACACATTGTAATGCGTGTATCAAACTTTAAGAGTGTTTCAATGGGATGTCTGTAAACTTCTACTTATGAAGGTTTTGTGAAACAATGCCTAGATGACCTGAACCAAAAAATAAAAATAAAGAAAATGACAAAGAATGGGGAAGATTACCTCAGTTACATCCTGTAATGATTTAGTGAAAGCAATCTCTCCCTCGACCATGTAGAACTCTGCTAAGTGACGTCTTGTCCTTGAGTTCTCTGCCCTGAAGGTGGGGCCAAACGTGTAGGCCTTAGTATGGGAACTAGGGGCAAGTGTAAAGAAAAACAGGGATAATATTATGAATTATTTGATATATAAAGGATAAATGTTAGTAGAGGTGAAGTATATGATGCTGAACTGCATCATGCTCAACGAATTCGTTCCATCTATAATGTGACTACTTGAAATAGAATGTGTTCTTCTCGACGATAATTCTCAACGTCCAATGGGGAATCAAGGAAGAAGGGTGGGGAGTGCCCATTTTTGTTCAGTTAGTCCTAGTTGCTTTTATTGCAGTTTCAAAAGAAGTTGAACGTTGCTTGGAGTTTGAATGCATTATAGTCTGCTGTACTCTAGGGCCCCGTCTTGTAAAGAGTTGCGAATGATGTAAATTAATCGCAAGTTTACAGCCTCCTTTCTCTTACATAGTTGCGATTGATGTTAATCACACATAAGTTGCAATTAATCGCAACTCTTTACAAGACAGGAGTTCCAGTCCTCAATGGAGCAAGGAATAAAGGAATATCTCAAACAGTAAGTGCAGATAAAGTGTAATATTTTATTGTACTATGATGAAACGCGGTAAACAGTGTAACATTTTGAAATGAATGTACTATTTGTCTGAAATTTTGTTAATGTGCATATCATGATCAAACAAACAAACAACTGTTAAATAAAAAAAGTAATTTAATGATAGAAACCATGTATACGCAAAATCTTTTTTGGGAATAATGTGTAGCAAACCTTGTTTCGTAATCATTTTTTGGTTTGTTATAGTATGATCATATTAATTAAACCATTCCATAAAATTGCAGGCCTATGAGACATCCATCAAATGATATGGGATCATTTTCTTGTTGTGGTAACTGGTTAAGGCTTGTTCAGATATTACACAGCAAAACTGCAGCGGTTTATTCATGATGACGTAAAGTGTAACATGCGTCACATTTCTGAGTCTAACAACACAGAGCTCAGTGAATACATGCAGGTTCCTTCTCGCGTGCAATTACAATTCATTTACTCGTAAAAAAACCTGGTTCACCAGGCCATATCTGAGCAAGCCTTAAGCTAGATAGGTGACTTGACCCATACCATGCTATCGTTTCCAGCTGGAGTTGTCCAGACACTAAGAGGTAGACAGGAGTTCCAAAGAAATGATCATCATCGTCTTTCTCATCATCTGAAGGCTTGAAATGACAAGTGAAGTAGTTAGTACTTGCTCTGCGATAACTTCTTGTTAGAATCAATTCCATAACAGAATAATACGCTCAGAAGGAATGGTATCAATACTGACAATGGTAACCTGCATTAATAAAACCATATCAATACCATTGTTATTATTGTTACAGTACCAAAGTCTAACTCAGATTTAATACAAGGCAAGATACAAGGATCACAGTAATGATATTTCAAGCCTAAAATTTTGTATACCTTACAATTTTTCTTCAAATAACTGATTTTAAAAGTTTCAATATTAAAAAAAAAAAACAAGTTGATTTCATATGTACTTTGTACCGTCGAAGAGATGAAAAAAAATGCATAGTTTTTCCTTTTAGAGGAAGCTCATTGAATGTATTTTTTGATTTTGGGACCATAATAGCTCTATTATGATTGTACAACTTAATAATTATGTTTTTGTACAATTAAGTTTGGCTATGTCTTTTATCGTCATGAAGGTAGAAAAAAATCACAAGGACCTTTTTGATTAATCCCTCCCCCCACCAAAATAATAATAATATGAGTTATCTAAAGACTCCAAAGACTTACTTGAACTCTGAAAAGGTTTCCTCCTCCTTCACAGTCACTGGAGGTCAACACCGGTGTATGGACATTGACGTATCCCTCATCTTGAAAGAAGTTGTGAACAGCAAGGGTTGCGGAGCTTCGTACCCTCATGAGGGCACCATTGATGGGTGTGCGGGATCTCAGATGGGGATATTGTCTTGTGTACTTCAGGGGATGCCTCACCTTGGCTTTGAAGGGGTAAGCCTGCACGGAGAGGAGAGAGGGAGGAATTCATTGTTTCATTTGTTAGAATGGGTTCATCGTACATTTGCTGGAAGACATAGCTAATTTGTTGCCTTACAGTCCTCTCACATGATTAAGATAATCTACTTCTATTTTGCATGATGTTCCTAAAATTAAAATTTCATGGAGGGTGGGGGGGGGGGGCGAGGTCAGTAATTTGCAAATGCTGGACCTTTCATTAAGGAAGCGTTTACCACAAGATTTTAAGAATAATTATCAAATGCAGATGTTCTTAAATTTCCTATTCATTACACCTTGATGATATTAGTTATGTGGAGTTTGGTTCAATAATCATTACAAATACTTATTGTCAATCACATTTACAAGTACTGTACCATCTTTCTACACTAAAGAAATACAATGAAACACAAGAAAAAGAAGAATTCTCACCTCTGCTTCACATGCCCCTGTAACATGAATGGAAGATGCAAGCAGTTCGATTGGTTGACCTTTAGATTGACTCTTCACAATCTGACCTTTGACCTCTATAGCACCACCAAATGTAAATTCACTGTATGTAATTAAACATGAAGGAAAAAAGGCTTGAATACTGTGAAAACAATGCAATCTAATATTTTTTTAAAGTGAAACAATTGTATTGGACATTACTTTTTTATTACAATCATGATTATCATCAATTAGTAATCACAAGCTTTTGTTTGTGTAAACAGTAGCAGCCCAAGACTTCACTTATAATTAAAAAAATTACCCTATTTTATAACACATTTTTCTAATAAAACAAATGTCAACAACATCTCTATGAACGTTTATAAATAATGACCGACTTAATGCCTTTTTTGTTTGTTTTGTTTTTACTGATTTACTCACATATACTCCAGCTACTATTTTAGGTGGAGTGTTACCAGAACTAAGTCATACACATATACAAGGTCCCATCAATACTCCTGGGTTGCCAGAGACAACTTTAAATAAAATACCCAGCTAAGGATACATGAAGCTGGCAAGCATTAACACTTATGACCTGTCCATATCTACATTGAAGTTGATAAACCATTATACACTGATTTAAAGACTTGAATATGAAAGTATCAACCGCTATTACTGGGGGCCATCAAGTATGCTAAATAACAATTAAAATATTCCTGCTTTAGTTCAGGGATGGCCATGGACCTGTCTGATTAGATAAGACATTGTATCATCCAGTATCATTGCTTGTAAGGCTATTGGATGCCCCCAGTCCAGCCATGGTGGACAAAGCACTACAGTGCTCCCAGAATCCATAGCAACTGAATCAGTCTCTGCTTTTATCTGTCTTAATATCACTTGCCTGTTATTATGGACAGTTTGGGGTTTGACTACAACTTGTAGATCCTGAGCACATGAACCATCATTAACATCCAGAAATGTAACTCCTTTGTGTTGTCTCAAACCTCTGATCCATGCCTGCAATAAAATACAGTAGACAGAATACTCTTAAATGACCCAAAAAGAAGATCCTTAGTTGGCAACTCAGTGTTGGCAAATTCATAAGGACTTTTGTGTATTATTACCCAGAGGACTGTACTTGCACTGGAAGAAGAAGAAGAAGAAGAGCTGAGCATTACCATCCTCAATTAGAATGGCAAGGACTAACACACTATTTTTGCTGTGCCATTTTTATTTACCATGTTCACAACTGAATAAAAATCCATTATTGATTTCTAAAATTTCATCAAACGCTTTAGCATTATAGCAAAGACACTGCAGACGACTGCTACCCCCAAAGTCAGGACAGCCAGTCTGAGCGGTCTCATCTTGCTACAGTGTGGCACATTGTATGCAAGTTATTGTCTTTTACTTTTTGGTCTTATATTATAAAAACGAAGTAGTAAGTGTAATTGTATTAATTAAAGAAAGAACAATTGGGACAAATATATGGCCTAGATTTGAGATAGTATCATATCACTATCGAAATATCGGTCATTATTTGCACCGCCATTATTTTTAATTGAAAACTCCTCTACTATTTAGTACAATTCACAGAGTCTAGATTGAGACCTAGTATCAGTATCAGTTATTTGAATTATTTCTATCTCATTTTGGGTAAATTATTTACCCAATGTTGGTTAAATAATAATGATAACGATAAGTAAAATAATAACATTAATAGTATTTCAAAAATAAATAATAATAATTCATATTAATAATGATAACAACTTTCTAAAGAATCTAAACTACACTGTAAGTTAAAGTTACTCCAATGTCATGATAATGTCAATAATGATGAGAATACTAATGATAATGAGAAGATGATATTGATAAGCAATATTGTGTACTAATAACTACCGGAGGGAAGAGGGCACTTTTACCAAGGCCCTGAAATATCTTGGCTGGGAATCCCTTTCCTTCAGACACGAAGGAGGAATCAAAGACTTTCCATGTTATATAAGATAAAGAATAATCGCGGAAGAGGTTTACGGTACACCATGTGTAAAGTCCTAGAAGGACTAAGGAAAGTGGATAGAAATAGAAGTGAAATGGAAAGGCGAGAAAGTGGAGGTTGGAAGGAAGAGTATCTTTCGGAAGTGAGTATAGTCCTGAAAAGGACTGTAAACCAGAAAGTTGTAGACAGGATGAGAGGTTTGAGTAGAAGACTGGATTGAGTTGGAGAGTTGAGTAGATGAGAGAAGCTGGCTTGAGTCGGCGAGTAGAGTTGCAGAGCAGGAGCAGGAGAGTAGACTCGACGTTTCGGACAGGTTGACTGTCCGTCTTCAGGAGTGAAGACAGTCAACCTGTCCGAAAAAAAAACCTTCAAACATCATCTAAGATAAAGAATGGCTTAGTTAATATCCATTTGGATGAATTTATTCAACGTAACCCAAGAGCTACTAAAGGGAATGACCAGAAGTTTCTCCAGTCAGGCATAGGGGCCAGGGTATTCCAGGACTCATTCTTTGTTAATACTGTTACTTGTTAGGGACTGGAATTAGAAACAACCTTCCTTCTTCAATTGTTAATAGCCCATCCCTGTAAACATTTAAAGTTAAACTTAAACAAAATAGATAAGTCTTTCCAGTTTCCACACGCAATGCGCTTCTATCATCGCAAAGTTAGCGTGGATGTGTCTGAAGAGGACATTTCGCTGTCCAAAACATATGGATACAGATAATAGTCTAATAATATAATCATTATAGGCCTACCACTTAGGCCAAGAAGTAGAAAATGCGGCGCTTGTTCAGAGGCCTATGATCTATCCAAAATTTTACCCGTAACTCTGGCGTGGCCATACCCTACTAAAACATACCCAACATGAAGTAAATATTTATTAAATGTCCAAATAAAGATCATGAGTTAAAAGTTGTTATGTTTATTACCTGTTTCGTGTCAATTTCCTTGTTATTTTTTGGAGTATTTTTCGGAAAAACATTGATATTAATTTACACTTTTTCACAGATTTCACGTCAAACCGCTGCACAATACAAGTTTAAATTCCACTAGGAATCTTTTGGAGGAACAACAACCAAGTACCAAGTGCATACCGATGGTGGGTTGCGGGCAGGCGCGTGCCTGTGTGAAGTTATCTACCGTAATGAGGATCTGAGACATTACGGTAGATAACTTCACACGTGTATCTCAAGAATTAACATTGTTAAACGATCCCTTCATCGCATCCACCCCCCCTCCCCTCCCTCCCTCGCCTCGGTCCCACCCTTGCTTTAAACTCCCTTGCACTGCTTGCGTTTGGTGGCTCTTGATCTTGGCTTGGCCAAGTTGGCTGCCCCCAGGCCAGGGCCAGCCCCTCCTTCTCCTTCTAAATAGTACAACGGAAAGGGATGACCGACTGCCCCAGCGCATTACCGAGAAACTGTGCTGGCTTTGTGCTGGAACGTAAGCCCTGGCATGACGGCCGTCGCGACGATAAACTTTGATGCATGTTCACTTACCTTTGCTTCAAAATCTTTTCCGACGTTTTCCACAACACCGATCAAATCTTTGACACTCTTAGCAATAAACGAGTCACAAAATGCTCTGCTGAATGGTGGTCTGCCATGCAAAAGATGTAATATCTTCAAAAAATGTCCACGGTGGTTGCAAACCATGGGCGCTGCCATCTTGGATTTTATCCTAAGGTATCTTTGAGAAAGGGAGCAAAAGGGATTTTCAGGCGACCTCTGCCTCTGTAAAGGTGTAATTGTGATCATGTTTGGAGTTCATCTAATCCTTTGAATTCCTCACCTCATTGCTGTTTTATATAACACCTCACGAAATACAATCATAATCAAGTTAGAAACGCATCTGTATTTTAAATTGTGAACTATGGTTGTGCTAAATATATTACTCATTGCGGATGTAGTATCGAAAATAATATCGCTAGTGATATTCGTCTGTCTCGCAATGTGGTCAATAAGGAATCTAAAAGATCACGACGTTTCGTGCGCTATCTGCAACACTTCGTCAGGTGATAAAAACTAATGTAAGCAAGGGTCTTTTAAGCCCTCTTCTCTATGTCATTAAAGGTTCAAAGACTCAAACTGCCACTGGATATTCAATGTGAATTGTTTGACCAACTTGTATTACCAATACTCATTTATGGATGCGAAGTGTGGGGATATGAAGATCTGAGTCAAATTGAAATATTCCATAGAAAATTTCTCAGGTCAGCGTTATGTGTAAATAAATTTACACCAGATTGTATGATATATGGAGAAACTGGGAGGGCATGGCTAGCTAACAGTATCAAACATCGAATGGTTAGTTTCTGGTTAAGAATAGTAAAAGGTTCTCCCTCTAAATATTCAGTCAAATTTTATTTTTTGCAAAGGTTAATTAGTCAGAATGTAGATATGTCTACTTCTTTCAAGTGGTTATCTTGTATTGAAAAAATATTGAACCATGCTGGTCTTGGTATTGTTTGGCTAAAGCAAGGGGAAGGATTTAGCAATAGTTGGATACTGAGCACTCTGAAGTTGAGATTAAACGATATTTCAAAACAAGATGTGATGGCAACAATTTGGACAAACAGTGTGTGCCTAAATTATAGGATCTTTAAAGAGGATTGTCTCTTTGAAAGGTATTTAGTTTTGCTGAGTAAAAAAGATAGAATAACACTGAGCCGTTTTAGATGTAGGTCACACCGTTTACCAATTAATAATAACAGATTCAAAGAAGCTGTTAATGAAATTAGTATTGAATGCCCATGTTGTGATATGCATGAGTCTGGTGATGAATTCCATTATGTTTTTGTATGCCCTTTTTTCAGAAAGGAAAGAGAGTTATATTTAGGTCACAAAGTAATAGTTAAACGCCCTTGCACATCACACATGTTGAATTTATTTTCATGTTCCGGTATAGGACAGCTGAAGAAATTAATACTCTTCTTAAGGATAATAATGTCATATTTTGCTCGTCTATATACATGTAAATCTGAACAATCCAATCATAATGTCGCCCATAAAAAGAAATGTTACAACCCGAAGTGGTAGGTTAATTAAGCAACCAACAATTCTTGATCTGTAGTACAGTCTTTCTTTAGGTCAAGTATAGTTTTGATGGTTTGTTTGTTCTTTTGTTCATTTTTTTTTTTTTTTTTTTTTGTTAGTATACTTTTTGTTTTGTTTGTCTTATTACATTATATTCCATTATGTTTTTGTTTGTCCAATGGACGATTATGGCGTATTTTGTTAGTCTGCATATATCTTAACAATCCAATCACAACTCACTTACATGTACAAAAATGAAACTTATAATTTCTTTTTTTAGTTAAGACAATAATGTATTTAAACAAAAACAAAATTTGTAAAATTATTTTTTGTTTTTATCTTTCTTTTTCTTTGTGTTTGTATTTAGATTGTTCATGTGGTATTTTCCACTTTTCATGTATGCTTGCCATATTGTATAATATTGTATTTATGTTTAGCATAGGCTAGGTTTAGATCATTCCTATTTATCGTTATACTTTTATATTGTTGTTTTGTTGTATTCTGTATTCTTTGTATTATTAAGCTATGTTTGTATTCTTTATTATGTATCATTATCATGACATGTACATGTGTTGTACTCTCATACCCCAGAAGGGGGTCGAATGAGTCAATAAATTCTATTCTATTCTATTCTATTCTATTCTATTCTTTAACTATGGTTATGTTTCACATGCACTGTACTGATTGTAATAGTGATTTTTTTTTGCATAGCGTGACATTTAGGCTTCGATCGTGGAAGACTAGATCAGGCTAGATATAAATTATTACCCTGGCAATTAAATGTCAAAAATTACGTAAATAAAAAAGTCAAAATCCTGCTAATTTTAACATTCAATCAAATTTCAGAAATGACACTTGTGGCGTATTAGTCCGTGGGCCAGAGGGGGCTACCGTGCACCCCCCCCCTATGATCCTACTTTTTGGGTGTCATTTTGTTCATAGGGATCCATAATATCAGAAAAAAGACGTTCCCAAGAAAAAAACTCATTTGGACACTGTTTTTTTGCTCCTTATTTGAAAATATGTAAAAATGTCAGTTTTTCGTGTTTTGCACACTTTCTTAGGGTTTATGAATTATGTGCTTACATTTTGCCCTGTTTCTCAGCAGATATAACTCTAATCTCAACCAAATTTATAAACAATCTTTGTAAACTATACAACAATAGGTAGACAAAATTATTTTATTTTATTTTATTGTCTTCAATTACTAATGACGTCATAAATTTGCATATATTTTGATATGCAAATTTCTGTCTCAAAACATGTCAAAATCACCTGAAAGTTGTATTTTGTCTGCTATTATCATGAAATAAGTTTTCAAACCCCCTAATTTGGTGTAAAATTGTTCATTGATATGTTATCTGATGTTTCCTGCAAAAAAAATTCAATCAACTCATGTAGATATTGTTTTTTTCTCCATTATTTTGTATGTAAACATATCAGTTTTCAGTGTATTGTACATTTTCTTAAGGTTTGTGAATTATGTGCTTACACTTTAACCTGTTTCTCATCAGATATAGGTCTAATCTCCATCAAAGTAATAAACACTATTTTTAAATCATACAACAACAGGTAAACAAAATCATTTTAATTTATTTTGTTGTCTTCAATTATTAATGACGTCATAAATTTGCATATATTTAATAAGCAAATTTCTGTCTCAAAACCAGTCAAAATCACCTAAAAGTTGTATTTTGACTGCTATTATCATGAAACAAGTTTTCTAGCCCCCTAATTTGATGTTTGAAGGAACATGGCCATTGAGGAACTAACAAAACTGCTATCTTGAAATTTAAATTGGTCAGTGGTTGTTAATTCTACAGACGCGGATCCAGGATTTCTTAGGGGTGGGGGCCCAAATTTGAAATCAATTTGAAATTTAGTGTGCTGAAATCTGAAAAATCGTGCCGGCCAATATTTCGCTCATTGGACGCCAGGGAGGGGGGGGGGGGCCTATCTCCCAAATAGGTAAAATTTACGTATTTTTTCCAGCCCAGGGATTTTATACATCAAATCATCGTCGGATGAGCATACTTATATACCTTATTTGTGACACTGGCAGGTCACGAATTGGCGTGGGGTCCAGGAGACGGAGCCCCCGGAGGCTATGGGGTTTTATTCATCAAATAATCGTCGGATGAGCATAATTTTATACCTAATATTTTGTGACACTGGCAGGTCACGAATTAGCGTGGGGTCCAGGGGGCGGGCCCCCGGAAGCTCAGGGGTCCGGGCAATAAACAACCGTCAGATGAGCATATTTTTTATACCTAATTTGTGACACTGGCAGGTCACGAGTTGACGTGGGGTGCAGTGGGCGGGCCCCCGGAAGCTCAGGGGTCCGGGCAATAAACAACCGTCAGATGAGCATATTTTTTTATACCTATAATTTGTGACACTGGCAGGTCACGAATTGACGTGGGGTGCAGTGGGCGGGCCCCCGGAAGCTCAGGGGTCCGGGCAATAAACAACCGTCAGATGAGCATATTTTTATACCTAATTTGTGACACTGGCAGGTCCCGAATTGACGTGGGGTGCAGGGGGCGGAGCCCCCGGAAGCTCAGGAGTTTTGGGTAATAAACAACCGTCAGATGAGCATATTTTTATACCTAATTTGTGACACTGGCAGGTCACGAATTGACGTGGGGTCCAGGGGGCGGAGCCCCCAGAAGCTCAGGGGTTTTGGGCAATAAATTACTATCAGATGAGCATGATTTTATACCTAATTTGTGGCACTGGCAGGTCACGAATTAACTGGGCGGAGCCCCCGGAAGCTAAAGGGTTTTGGGCAATAAATAACCGTCAGATGAGCATATTGTTATACCTTATTTGTGATACTGGCAGGACTGTGTTGGGTCCAGGGGCGCGCAGTGGAGCCCAAGAAGCTCAGGGGTTTTATACATTAAATTATCATCTGACCGTAGTTAAATATCTAAAAACTTTTGAGCTTCCTGGGACTCTGCCCCCTGGGCCCCTGGATGGTCATCTGACCGTAATTAAATACCTAAAACCTCTGAGCTTCCGGGAGCTCTGCCCACTGGACCCCACCAAGGGCCCGAAGGCGGGCCCCTGGATGTTCATCTGACCGTAATTTAATGCCTAAAAACCCTGAGCTTTCGGGGGCTCAGCCCCTCGACCCCTCGACCCCATGCCGGGGCTCAGGCCCTGGACCCCACGCAAATTTAAGCTCTACCTGATCGTTAATACTCCCCTTTGAAAAATGTTCCGCGGGGCCTACATGTAACGTGTACGAGTGGTGGTAGTGCAGATTTTTCTTCTCCCCCCTCCCTTCCAAACGTTTTTGCTCATTACGCCACTGCCCCTGGAAGGTGAGGCCCCTGGAATGTTTACCCCTCTTCCCCAATCCCAAACTGTTTCCGGCGCGCCTGCTCCTACTAGGCGCGGATCCAGGATTTCTTAGGGATGGGGGCCCAATTTTATTTTTTTTTGCTCCTGAAAATTTGAAAATTCGCTTAGTTGGGGGGTTGGGGGGGGGGGGGGTAGTGAGCACATTTTGTTTTTGGTCCTCGAAAATTTGAAAAATTTTACCCAACCCCCCCCCCCCCCCCTTGAGCGTCAGGGGCGTCTCCCAAGAAAGGTAAAATTAACGTGGGGGGGGGGGAGGTGCCGGGCTCGCCCCCCCCCCCTGGATCCGCCACTGACTCGTTCCCCCTCCAAGAGTAGAAATCTTTTGCAATTTGAGAACCACATTTGGCGCATTAATGTTCACCTGCACTTCCTGGAAAAAAACGAGGCCTTCTGATTGGTTAGAAGTTAGAGAAAAGTGATCCGTCAGGTCGCGAGACGTGCTCACTACCCCCCCCCCCTCCCCACCGAGCGAATTTGCGGCCGGCGCGATTTTCAAATTTTCGGGAGCAAAAAAAAAAAAAAATTAGTGCTCCATACCCCCCTCCCCCACTGAACGCATTTCGACCGGCGCGATCGGGAGCAAAAGAAAATAATAGGGCCCCACCCCTAAGAAACCTGGATCCGCGTCTGGGGGGGGGGGGGTTGCCCCTGGCTGTTATCCCATTATTCCTCATGCTCTCGCACCTCGCCTTCTATCTTTGTTTAGTGCTCTTTCATTTTTTTCTTTCTCCTTTGACAAACAAAAATTCTCTCTTTCCCCCTTTTTTCATCTCTTTTTTGGGGGGTTCTTCTGGTCCTTTTTTTGTTGGGGGGGGGGGGGGGGCTACACGCCTGGCAAGAGGGACCCTATATTATGCACACTGCAAAATTGCATCCCCCGCCCCTTTTCCGGTTAAAGAACACCTTCGTATAATATCATCCCCATTTCTTTCTTTTCCCATCTCATTATTATCCTTCCCCCCCCCCCACCCTTTCTCTTCTCCGTCTTTCCCCTTTCTTCCTTTTCCGCCTTTTCTCTCCTCTCTCCTTTCTCTCCTCCATCTTTTCTTCTTCTTTCTCTCGATCTTCCCTCTTCTTTCCCTTTTCCCCCTTTTTCTTTCCCTCTCCCTTTTCTACTTTTCTCCCTTTTTCTTTCCCCCTTCCCCCTTTCCCCCTTTTTTTTTTTACATTCTGAGGCATTCCTAAATGAGTAAACTGAATATTTTTTGTGGATATTTTACGCCCCACTGGATCCGCCCCTGCATCAGACGCTTCGAAAATTGATTTCTGTTTGCTCTTTCTGAATCACTCAACCATGGAGACAAAAGTATTCACGAGCGCATTATGATTTCATATACAATTCATGCTGCAAATACATACGGCCGGTAGATTGTATACTGAACAGGCAATAAATAATAGTGGGTTCTTGTGTGTTAGAGTGTCAGATTTCCTGGCGCGGCGCTCCATATTAAATATATTAGCCTGCTCCAAACGGTTCTGTTTGCGGTCATATATGCTAATTGTTGAAGAAATTATGAAGAATATCGTGGCTATTTTGTGTGTTCTGCTGCACGTCTCTTCCAACTCAGGTAGGAATCATGTATTTTCAGTATCTCGTTTATGATATATACCATAGCCGGAAATGTCATATCGAAAATGATAAGCAGACAAGCAGTAGATGAATGCATTTTTTGTTGTTTGGACTTTGGTCGTTGTGTTTTGGTGTGAATACCTGTGACCTGAAACCGTGTAGGCCTAGTAGTGTGGGCAGGGAAAAGGAGTGGAAGGAATGGAATTAGGATCGAGTGTGTGAGTATACAGTGAGTGTGAGAGAAATAGAGCCTTGATGTAGAGAGATAGAGATGAGTAGAGAGATAGAGATGAGTAGAGAAAGAGAGAGAGAGAGAGAGAGAGAGAGAGAGGAGTAGAGAGAGCTGGAGAGAGACTAGGAAAGAGATCGAGGGGTGTGTGTGTGTGTGTGTGTGTTGGTTGATGGTAGAGAGAGAGAGAGAGAGAGAGAGAGCGAGAGCGGGAAAGAGATCGAGCGAGGGGTGTGTGTGGGTTGGTGACAGAGAGAGAGAGAGAGAGAGAGTATAGACACATTGTCAATGGCTTCCACTAGCCACTCGTAACAACACAACCGTGTATACATGTTATCACGTGACTGATTTATTATCATGTGATATCCGAGCTCAGTGCCGAAAGCAGGATTTTTTCAAGGGGGGGGGGGGGGGGGGGGGGGGCGTAAGAGCCGTTTTTTGTCCCAAAAATTTCGCAACGACTCAAAAAATTACGCAATGACTCAGGGGGGGGGGGGGGGTATTTGGGGGCCATCCTTAAAAAAAATAATAATAATAAAAAAAATCATCAAAAATCACATACATAACAAAAATTGAGGGGGGGGGGGAGGGGTCAACCCCCTCGCTGCGTACGCGCCTGTCCGAGCTTATACCGTCATGACTGATGTCATACCCAGCACAGGCTAAACAAGGGAATCTCACATCCCTGGCTAGACTCATGTCAAGGGCAATTTGGTGGGAAAGGGGTCAAGCCATGGAGTGTAGGACTGACTTCGCCAACAAGCTTCTCCCATTTTTTCCTTCTATCGAGCAATTAAATAAATTAATCATGAAAAAAAAAACAGCGGATGTTTCAACATTCCTTAAAATTGATCAGATAAGAAGTTGTCGGACCGGTTTCACCAACAAGTTTTCCATGCACTTAGCATACAGAGTACATAACACAAAATTTTAATGTTCACATTTTTGAGAGAAAAGAAGCAGGTTCTCGGGTTCTCAGACCTGAAAAGGCCCAAAGATCGAGTTTAAAAATTTTTTTTGTAAAGAAAGAAAGAAAAAAGAACTAAAAGAAAACTAGAACTGTTATTTTAGGAGCTCCCGGGTAAAAAAATAACATAAAAAATAATGGATGGCGGGTAGAGGGGGCAGTGTCACACCAACCCCACCCACCCACCAACATATCCTTGTCTCAGCCTCTTTTTAATGTAACTTGCACATTTTACAAGCTCATTATATTTCTTTAAATGCTATAGCCTTGCCATTATGAAGTGTAGAGCTCAAGGATGTGAAGCTAGTTTGACGCTATACAAGAAGCCTCTTACCATTATTATTATTATTACTATCATCATTATTATTACTATCATCATTGCAATGACGAACCTTCGTCATTGCCTTGTTTTCGTTCACATTCTGCCCCATTCTGCATTAATATTCTCCTCCTTGTTTTCGTTTTCTTCCTTATCGTCAGGAAATCGCATTCGTTTTGCACGTAGTGCTTGTTATTCCTAGTTAGGTACTTTCCTCATGTCCTTTTCCTTTCAAATTTCATAGGCATAGTCTCTAACATCTCATCAAGGTCACTACATTCTTCGATTCTCGAAATCACTCATGCATAACCGTGCAGGCGCCATTTTGTCCGTTTCTGGTCCATTTTAAGGCCTCTCTTTCTTCCTTCCTATCTCCACTATTCTAGATCCTACACATTTCTAATAAATTCCCCTAGATAGTCTAAGAGATGTTCTTTCATCTGCGACGTATAACCTGACCTTCAAAATGCCATCTTCGTACTCAAAATTCAAATCTGAAACTGACTGCGTCAAAAATCTCTCAAATTCTTAAAAAATGGACCCCTAAAAATCTAAAACTGCCATAACTTTCTCATATAAATTCCGTTTTGTGTTTAAATCTCACATTATCCTTATCTCATAATTGCACATAGCCATGCCAAATTTCATGCTCCAATGACTATGCAAAACATAAATAGCGCCCTCTAAAGTTCTGGGAATTGGCTTTCTCTCTGTGGCCGTATCTCCATAATGGCTTGGCAAACCCGTACTCTTTTTTGGATTTAGATACTTGAAGATATGCCCTTTCCAGCCATATACAAAATTATATACCCTATAACTGACCAAATATGAGAAAATTGCCCTCCAAATTCGCCATTTTCAAGAAAATTGAGAAATAACTTCAACTTGCTCTAAACCGGCGATCTTTATACCTACATCAATGAAACTTGGCAGACACATGTATCCATATACGTGACAACTGTCTGCTAAGTTTGGTAAATTGTAATGCCCTATTCGCCAAGTTATCGCCAAAAATGATGAATTTACTATGCTTTACGTATTAGCGCGTTTGATGCGTGCAGTACGTTTTGCGCAGATGACAATGGTGTCAAACTGACCGCACTGAAGTGCCCTTTCGAATGATACCAAGTATGGTATATGTTCACGCACAAAATTGTGAGTAAATCACATTTGAACAAGTACGAATTCCGCCGAGTTTCCATGACGTCATTTGTTAAGACTGTTATTCGGTTGTGTTAGTATGGGCGGCCGTTCGTGCCAAAGCACGCGTCGTAACATGTTCATCATGCACCAAGTCATATTGGTTTTGCACGCAGTGCTTGCGAGCCCTTTCTAGATCCCTTCCTCTACTCCAATTCCCTTCAAAATTCGTAGGCGTAGTCTCTAGCATTCCTTCAAGATCACTAAATTCTTCGTTCTCCGGAAACCCTCATGCATGACCGTCCAGGCACCAATTTTTCCGTTTCGGGCCGTTTTGGTGACCTTTCTTTCGCCCTAACTATCTCCACTATCACAGAAGCTACAGACTTCTTTCATATTGCTCTGGATAGTCCGAGAGTAGCTCCTTCGTTTGACACGTAGAAACATGGCGTCATTGCACGCACATCGTTGTGACACGATTGCATTTCTAGTTATTATTATTTTCATCATTGTTTTTTAAATAATAATTATCCTTATTAGTAGCAGTGTAGTATTTTTGCAATGACGAACCTTCGTCATTGCCTTGTTTTCGTTCACATTCTTCTTATTAATATTCTTACTTCTTCTTTGCAATGACGACCTTCGTCATTGCCTTGTTTTCGTTCACATTCTGCCCCATTAATATTCTCCTCCTTTTCCTTGTTTTCCTTATCGTCCAGAAATTCCATTCGCTTTGCATGTAGTGCTTGTTATTCCTAGTTAGGTGCTTTCCTCATGTCCTTTTCCTTTCAAATTTCGTAGGCATCTTCTCTAGCATCTCCTCAAGGTCACTACATTCTTCGATTTTCGAAATCATATATGCATAACCATCCAGGCGCCATTTTGTCCGTTTCTGGTCCATGTTAAGGCCTTTCTATCTTCCTTCCTATCTCCATTATCCTAGATCCTACACATTTCTAACAAATTCCTCTAGATAGTCTAAGAGATGTTCTTTAATCTGCGACGTATAACCTGCCCTTCAAAATGCATTCTTCGTACTCAAAATTCAAATCTGAAACCGACTCCGTCAAAAGTCTCTCAAATTCTTGAAAAGTTGACCCCTAAAAAATCTAAAACTGCCATAACTTTCTCATATAAATATCGTTTTGTTTTTAATTCTCACAGTATCTTTATTTCATAATTGCACATAGCCATGCCGAATCTCATGCTCCAATGGCTTTGCAAAACATAAATAGCGCCCTCTAAAGTTCTGGGAATTGGCTTTCTTTCTGTGGCCGTATCTCCATTATGGCTTGGCAGACCCGTACTCTTTTTTGGATTTAGATACTTGAGGATATGCCCTTTCCAGCCATATACAAAATTATATACCCTATCACTGACCAAATTTGAGAAAATTGTCCTCCAAATTCGCCATTTTCAAGAAAATTCCGAAATAACTTCAACTTGCTCTAAAATAGCGATCTTTATACCTACATCAATGAAACTTGACAGACACATGTATTCATATACGTGACAACTGTCCGCCAAGTTTAGTAAATTCTAATGCCCTCGTCGCAAAGTTATCGTCAAAAATGATGAATTTACTATGCATTATGTAATAGCGCGTTTGATGCGTGCAGTACGTTGCGCGCAAATGACAATGGTGTCAAACTGACCGCAATGAAGTGTCCTTTCGAATGATACCAAGTATGGTATATGTTCACACAGAAAATTGTGAGTAAATCACATTTGAACAAGGGTCACTATACAAATTCCGCCGAGTTTCCGCCCTATTATAACACGTTTCGGCTATGACGTCATTTTTTAAGACTGTTATTTGGTTGTGTTAGTATGGGCGGCCGTTCGTGCCAAAGCACGCGTCGCAACATGTTCATCATGCACCAAATGCTATTGGTTTTGCACGCAGTGCTTTCGAGCCCTTTCTAGATCCCTTCCTCTACTCCAATTCCCTTCAAAATTCGTAGAGATAGTCTCTAGCATTCCTTCAAGGTCACTGAATTCTTCGTTCTCCGGAAACCCTCATGCGTGACCGTCCAGGCACCATTTTTTCCGTTTCGGGCCGTTTTGGTGACCTTTCTTTCGCCCTAACTATCTCCACTATCACAGAAGCTACATACTTCTTACATATTGCTCTGGATAGTCCGAGAGTAGCTCCTTCGTTTGACACGTAGAAACATGGCGTCATTGCACGCACATCGTTGTGACACGATTGCATTTCTAGTCCTCTTCTTCTTGTCGTCCGGAATCCCATTCGTTTTGCACGTAGTGCTTGTTATTCCTAGTTAGGTGCTTTCCTCATGTCCTTTTCCTTTCAAATTTCATAGGCATAGTCTCTAACATCTCATCAAGGTCACTACATTCTTCGATTTTCGAAATTACTCATGCATAACCGTCCAGGCGCCATTTTGTCCGTTTCTGGTCCATTTTAAGGCCTTTCTTTCTTCCTTCCCATCTCCACTATCCTAGATCCTACAAACTTCTAACAAATTCCTCTAGATAGTCTAAGAGATGTTCTTTCATCTGCGACATATGACTTGACCTTCAAAATGCCATCTTCGTACTCGAAATTCAAATCGTAAACCGACTCCGTCAAAAAAATCTCAAGTTCTTGAAAAATGGACCCCTAAATAATCTAAAACTGCCATAACTTTCTCATATAAATTCCGTTTTGTATTTAAATCTCACAATATCTTTATCTCATAATTGCACATAGCCATGCCAAATTTCACGCTCCATTGGCTTTGCACAACATAAATAGCGCCCTCTAAAGTTCTGGGAATTGGCTTTCTCTCTGTGGCCGTATCTCCATAATGGCTTGGCAAATCCGTACCCTTTTTTGGATTTAGATACTTGAAGATATGCTCTTTCCAGCCATATACAAAATTATATACCCTATCACTGACCAAATTTGAGAAAATTGCCCTCCAAATTCGCCATTTTCAAGAAAATTCCGAAATAACTTCAACTTGCTCTAAAATGGCGATCGTTATACCTACATCAATGAAACTTGGCAGACATATGTATCCATATACGTGACAACTGTCCGCCAAGTTTGGTAAAATTCAAATATGTCAGCGCAAAGTAATCGCCAAAAATGATGAATTTACTAAGCATTACATAATAGCGCGTTTAATGCGTGCAATACATTGCGCGCAGATAATAATGGTGTCAAACTGACCGCAATGAAGTGCCCTTTCGAATGATACCAAGTATAGTATATGTTCACACAGAAAATTGTGAGTAAATCGCATTTGAACAAAGGTCACTACACGAATTCCGCCGAGTTTTTGCACGAATCTAACACGTGTCGGCTATGACGTAATTTTTCAGACTGCTTTTCGCCCCTTAAACGTCCTTTTTTTTCCTTGAAAATTTGCAGTGACATGCCGAGTTCCAATACGCAGGGCACCTCTTGGCCGGATTTTTGAAATTGGTCAATGGGGCCATTTAAGACGCCATTTTGTCCTATAAATCTATTTTACATCACGTGTTTCGATAGGATTATCATAGAAAAAAAGAGAGTGGTTTACAATAACAACCATGAAATTCTCTTTCTAATGATACCAAATACGGCCCATAAAGAGACATAAAGAGAGAGAGAAAAAACAATTTAACTCCGGTCATAATACAGATCCTGTACGTTTTCCGCTCATGCATTACACGCATTGTCTATGGGGCATATCGGGTTCACGCTTTTGACCCCCAGGACGATCTTTATTGCAATGAAGAACATGCACCAAATCCCCTTGGTTTTTGCACGCAGTGCTTGCGAGCCCTTTCTACGTCCTTTCCCATATCCCAATTTCTTTCAAACTTCGTAGGCATAGTCACTACCATCCCATCAAGGTCACTGTTGAGGCCTTTCTTTCGCCCTACCTATCTCCAATATCACAGAAGCTACAGACTTCGTACAAATTGCTCTGGATAGGGCGAGAGAAGCTCTTTCGTTTGACACGTAGAAACATGGCGTCATTGCACGCACATCGTTGTGACACGATTGCATTTCTAGTTATTGCAATGACGACCTTCGTCATTGCCTTGTTTTCGTTCACATTCTGCCCCATTAATATTCTCCTTTTCCTCCTTTTCCTTTTCCTTATCCTTATCGTCAGGAAATCGCATTCGTTTTGCACGTAATGTTTGTTATTCCTAGTTAGGTGCTTTTCTCATGTCCTTTTCCTTTCACATTTCATAGGCATAGTCTCTAACATCCCTTCAAGGTCACTACATTCTTCGATTTTCGAAATCACTCATGCATAACCGTCCAGGCGCCATTTTGTCCGTTTATGGTCCATTTTAAGGCCTTTCTTTCTTCCTTCCTATCTCCACTATCCTAGATCCTACACATTTCTAACAAATTCCTCTAGATAGTCTAAGAGATGTTCTTTTATCTGCGACGTATAACCTGCCCTTCAAAATGCCATCTTCATACTCAAAATTCAAATCTGAAACCGACTCCGTCAACTATCTCTCAAATTCTTGAAAAATTGACACCTAAATAATCTAAAACTGCCATAACTTTCTCATATAAATTCCGTTTTGTATTTAAATCTCACAGTATCCTTATCTCATAATTGCACATAGCCATGCCAAATTTCACGCTCCAATAACTTTGCACAACATAAATAGCGCCCTCTAAAGTTCTGGGAATTGGCTTTCTCTCTGTGGCCGTATCTCCATAATGGCTTGGCAAACCCGTACCCTTTTTTGGATTTAGATACTTGAAGATATGCCCTTTCCAGCCATATACAAAATTATATACCCTATCACTGACCAAATTTGAGAAAATTGCCCTCCAAATTCGCCATTTTCAAGAAAATTCCAAAATAACTTCAACTTGCTCTAAAATTACGATCCTTTGACCTACGTCAATAAAACTTGGCACACACATGTATTTATATACGTGACAACTGTCCGCAAAGTTTGGTAAAATTCGAATATGTCAGCGCAAAGTTATCTCAAAAAATGATGTATTTACTATGCATTGCGTGATAGCGCGTTAAATGCGTTAAATACATTGCCCGAAGATAACAATGGTGTCAAACTGACCGCAATGAAGTGCCCTTTCGAATGATACCAAGTATAGTATATGTTCACACAGAAAATTGTGAATAAATCGCATTTGAACAAAGATCACTACACGAATTCCGCCGAGTTTCCGCCCGAATCTAACACGTATCGGCTATGACGTCATTTTTTCAGACTGCTTTTCGCCCCTTAAACGTCCTTTTTTTTCCTTGAAAATTTGCAGTGACATGCCGAGTTCCAATACGCAGGGCACCTCATGGCCGGATTTTTAAAATTGGTCAATGTGGCTATTTAAGACGCCATTTTGTCCTATAAATCTATTTTACATCACATGTTTCGATAGGATTATCATGGGAAAAAAGAGAGTGGTTTACAATAACATTCATGAAATTCTCTTTCTAATGATACCAAATACGGCTCATAAAGAGACATAAAGAGAGAGAGAAAAAACAATTTAACTCCGGTCATAATACAGATCCTGTACGTTTTCCGCTCATGCATTACACGCATTGTCTATGGGGCATATCGGGTTCACGCTTTTGACCCCCAGAACGATCTTTATTGCAATGACGAACATGCACCAAATCCCCTTGGTTTTTGCACGCAGTGCTTGCGAGCCCTTTCCACGTCCTTTCCCATATCCCAATTTCTTTCAAACTTCGTAGGCATAGTCACTACCATCCCATCAAGGTCACTGTTGAGGCCTTTCTTTCGCCCTACCTATCTCCAATATCACAGAAGCTACAGACTTCGTACAAATTGCTCTGGATAGGGCGAGAGAAGCTCTTTCGTTTGACACGTAGAAACATGGCGTCATTGCACGCACATCGTTGTGACACGATTGCATTTCTAGTTGTTATTATTATTATTATTATTATTATTATTATTATTATTATTATTATTATTATCGTTAACATTATTAGTGTAGTATTTTTATTGTTATTATTATTATAATTATTATTGTTATTGTTATGATTATATCATTTTGTCATTTGAAGTAACATACTAGTATAATCTTAGCCTTAGACAATACCTGTCATTTCCAACAGGTTATCACCAAATCAATGAGGCCAATCTTTATATTTATATTTTATTTTTTTGCTATGGTTACAGCTTTGTCAGAGAAACCGAATGTTCTGTTCATCGTGATAGATGATTTACGAGCATCCCTTGGATGCTATGGGGGTCCCATCATATCACCAAACATCGATCAACTTGCATCCAAATCTGCTCTCTTCACCAACACCATGGTGCAGGTAAGGTCAATGGGGTTTAAGCCCTGCTGCACTACCTTATAGCTACTTGCACCCTCTATATAGCAAACAATGCCTAAACAGTGCCTTTTGGTCCCCCATGGTCCTCTTTTTCTTATGTTAATTGAGAGCTGCTTTGATAAGATAACCACCTGTCAGTGACCTCGCAGGGAGGTCTAACCCCCTGGCCAATAATATTTTGTTAAAGACCATATCCTAACTGAAAAATGAAATGGATGAATGATAATATATCAACGGAAAACTGATAAGTCATGGATTATAATAATATCAATTATATGCCATTTTAGTGTGTGTCATCGGAGTATTACCTCTCTGAAAACTCAAAATCTAAAGCTTTGAAAGTGAGAAGTTGTTGACCTAAAAATCTTGCTATCGACTTGTGGAGTACGCTATTCACAATGACTTTGTATTAATCATTCGTCGCCTCAGCTAGCTATATAGATGAACCGTTGGAGTCCACATATTAATATGTTGTCTTTGTAAATTTGGCAAATTTGACCCCTGTTGACCTGTGATTTGGAGGGGTGCAGAAAATGAGGTTTTGATTTGCTTTTGTGCAATATAATGAAAGGGTAAATATCTATAATTTCTTTATATTTGTATTCTACATTCATTTTTAATTTTTTTTATGAAGGTCTTTTTTCATTGGAAAGGGTCTTTAAGGTTAACAAAAGTTGAGGATAGGTCGGACTGTTGCTCATTTCAATCTGGGTCCCATCATACACTGAGTAAAGAGTTGTGATTGAACCGAATTCATCACAAATCCTCCAATTAATCGCAAATTTGCAGTCTCCTATCATTTATGTACACAGTTGCGATTGATATCAATCACAAATAAGTTACAATTAATTGCAACTCATAACATAATACATATGCCCGTGAATATATGTTAAATACATGAAGTAAATTATGCGAGCCTATTTTCAATCATTATAGGGGCGGATCTGACTAATCTGAAAGAGGTAGGGCTAATCCCCCTATTTTTTTTATTACCTGATAACATATTCGGGGTAGGGCCAATCCTCCCACCCCCATAAAGTTTGTATTGCCTGAAAACATAATGATTTCGAGAATCTCGCCGGCCCTTATTTTAAGTTCTTTCAAGGATAAAAGGGTGGGGAAGGTGGGGGAGCTAGTACTAAAGGATAACAAATTTAATAAATTTCCCTGAAAATTACAGTCCCGCCTGCCTTTTCCAAGCCCTTTCATCGGAGGGCTAACTTAAGACGTTGTATTTCATTTTCCCTTAACAGAACAGGGGGGGGGGGGGTGCAGCCAATTGCCCCTTGATATCCATGCTTTTTAGTTTCTTGATAATTTGAGGGAAGACTTATGACCAATCTTCATTTCAAATTTCTCTCTTTTTTTCTCTCTAGCAAGCGGTGTGTGGCCCCAGCCGTACATCGTTCTTGACGGGGCGTCGACCCGACACCACTAGGCTCTATGACTTCGGGTCTTACTGGAGGACACATGCAGGCAACTATACAACCCTACCACAGCACTTCAAAGAGAACGGATACTTCACAGCGTCAGTAGGAAAGGTTTTTCATCCAGGTATATCGTCAATTAAATATGTGTCATAACATATACCTAATTCATTCTAAAGTTCGTTTTACTACCGGAGTTTTGACTAATCGACTTATATTTAGGCCTACTGGTCTGTATTTTTCCTTCACGAATGGCAATCGCAACTACTACTATTATAATTATAATAATTGATGATGATATTGATGAAAATAATAATAATAATAATGATAATAAGAAGATGATGATCCGGAAGAAGGAGAAGAAAAAAAAATCAAAATCAAAAGAAGAATAAAAAGAATAATTATAATGATGATAATAATACTAATAACAATAATGAGAATGATAACAATTATAATAGTAAATTATAATAATAATAATAGTTAGAATAATAAGAATAACAATAATGATAAAAAGATGAATTATAAATATATAAAATACATAGCACACGTCATTGAATGATTAATTTTCTCTTTTTAGTTAATAATAATATTGAAGGCATGCTATAGTAGTAAAACGTAATGAAAATCAAGATTTATACCTACCTGATACAAGGACAAATACGTCTATTATGATTTAAAAAGTTGAACTACTGGTTTAGTAAAGATTTGAAAATAATGTCTTCATCTTTTACTATAATAATGTAGGCTTATGTTCAAACATTTGTGATACGTGTGCGTTAAGCACAATTTAGATTTCCTTTCTTTTAATAAGTTGATTTGTTTTGTAATTCCAATGCTATTTAAACAATGTTCAAGATTGATACTGACCTTGGATAATTTCTGTTTGGTTTGACAAGGCATTGCGAGTGGTGGTAACGACGACTATCCATACAGCTGGTCTGTTCCGGCTTACCATCCACCGACACAACAATACCAGGCGAACAAGGTTAGTAGATCTTGTTTAGATCAAGGTATGCCATTTCATGGCCAAATTGTCGATTTGGATGTGAGAAAAGAAGAAAGTTTTGTATATAGGCCTACCTTTGGAGGGCAGTGGCGCTGCCGATATACCGTCGTAAAAAAGGGGGAGGCGGGGTAGGCCAGATGTGTTGATTCTTCCACGAATTGGCAGTGTTCAAAAGTGTATAGAGATCACACTTTGAAGAAATAACTTTTTATGCCAACTTTGTAACATTCTTTCCAAACTTTCGGGGCCCTCCCCCTTCCTCAGGGATGACATTAATGCTTGCGGGTGATCAGAATATTTACAATAATAATTTATAGCCGCTCAATTTCAGTGTTACTGAAACAATAATTAATCAATAACTATCTATGTATATGTATTATTGTATATATATATATATATATATTTATATATATTTCGAAACATGTATATACTCGTGTATAATCTCCTATATTTCTCTATCTTCTTTTTATAGTTGTGTCCCAATTTGGATGGCACGCTTCACAATAACGTAATTTGTCCAGTCAAGGTAAGTGACATGCCACAAAAATCACTCCCGGATATCCAGTCTCTAGAAGTCTCATCATCTATCCTGAAGAACCTATCCGTAGCCCTACATCCAACACACAAGCAAGGAAAACCGACTGAAACCGGTCAGTCATCTCCCGACATGCAACCGCCTTTTTTCTTGGCCGTTGGATTTCACAAACCACACATTCCGTGGAAGTACCCAGAGGAATTCAAATCATTGTACCCGATCGAGTCGGTTTCCATTGCAACCAATCCATACCGACCTCCGACCCAGCCGGATGTCGCCTATGAGGATTATTACAATATGAGAACTTATAGGGAAGATGTGGCAGCTATGAATACGAGCTTCCCCTTTGGAACGATACCACTTCAATTCCATGTAAGATAATGACTTGATCTAACAAGAACATTGTATTTAATTTTAGATTTAGTTCTCTATAAAATTACTTAGCAGCAATGCATGACATTTGGGTTGAATTAATGAGTTTACACTAATTTTCAATTGGTGAGCTAGGGGGACTGCATGAAACAGACAGCCTATCCCCGACATTCAGAGAGAGAGAGAGAGAGAGAGAGAGGCATGAACAAAACAAAACAAGAAAGAATAAAGACAGTGTTATAAGTAGTGGTCAAAACATTTAATATTTGAAAAGGAGAAAAGTTATGAGCTCATTTTCAAATTAAATTTGGTCAGTGGGTCTACATTTTCTAAATTCCCGAAATCATGGTCCTGCATTGAAAGGAAAACTTAACATGGCCACCTTTTTATGATAATCTTGTATTTGTCATGTTCACTTATCGATCAATGAGCATTGTTTCCCCTTTAATTTTCGGACAGGCTCCGATGAGACAGAGCTACTATGCTGCTGCATCCTACATGGATTCCATGGTGGGAAAACTTCTTCAAACCCTTAATGAAACTGGCTTCTCAAACAATACCATCGTCGTTCTCTTTGGGGATCATGGTTTGTTAATTTCTTCAAAATTCCCTGATCCCTCCCCCTTTCTTCCACTCTCAGTCTCTATTTCATGTACCCCTTTTTCCTTTCTTTTAAAAAATACTCTTTTGTAATTTGTTGGTATTAGATAAGTTATTAATAAAACATGTTTATGGTGTGCATGATGGCTTCATTTCTCGACCTTGCATAAACCGTATCATTATTGTTGTTTCTAATACATGTAGTACTTTGATGGCATATATAATTTCGATTACATAACCCTTTTTTAAATTCAGAGCTACGTTGATATACGTGAGGATAATGACTATTAGAATATTATTTTTAGTGGAGAAAATAACCCTGAATGATACAGAGGCGGGGTACCACACCCCTATTACCTTCCAAAGTGTAGTCATAATTCATACAATTATTAAATTGTTGCAAAGGCAGAGATTTCTGGGAACATATCTTCTTCGCCTGTGTTCATGTACTCCTCCCGGATTGAAAATAACCTTTTGTTTTTCTACCTCTTAGGATGGCAATTAGGTGAGCATGCAGAATGGTGCAAGTACTCTAACTATGAACTGGCAACAAGAGTTCCTTTGATCGTTCACATTCCTGGTGTTACAGACAAGCCAAGGTCATCGCCAATCAAAAATGAACTTCAAAATTCTCTAAAGATGAATCAATCTCAAGGCAATGTAAAATCATCTGCTGACAGTGGAATGGTTGTTACCGAGTTAGTAGAACTTGTTGATCTGTTCCCCACACTCTCTGAGCTCGCTGGCATCACTGTTCCACCTGTATGTCCTCCAGAGCCTTTCAATGTCACCTTATGTTCCGAGGGGTACAGTTTCGCCCCTCTCCTGGAGCCAGTCCAAGGCTCCAACACCATTCTGCAGAAAGATGGCATGGAGAAGTTGACTTCAAAGCGGTACAGCAGATGGAAGAATGCCACATTCAGTCAGTATCCTCGTCCAGGGGTAACCCCAAACTATGAAACGGATCTCCCTAGTCTGGTTGACATTACTATCATGGGGTACTCCATGAGGACCAAGGATCACCATTACACCGAATGGATAGGATTCAATCCAAAAACCTTCCAAGGTAACTGGACCGATGTAAAGGCTACAGAACTTTACATGAATGGCTTGGACTACGACCAAAACCAAAATGTTGCTGCTGATCCACAGTTTAAGGACATCGTCAAGCAACTCAGCTATCAGTTACAGATGGGCTGGCGCGAAAGCTTACCTGTCCCTGCATAAATCTCGATGGAATGCATTTATCGCCCTTCATCTTAAAAAGCCAAGAAGTTGTCAGAACTACAACAACATTTAAAAGTAAAAGCCAGAATGTCTTTCTTTTTTTAAAACCCATTCTAAAAAATATTCCACTTAACAAAATGCCAATACATTTATGTAACCGAAACAAAGAAGACAATTTCAATTACAATTTCTCAAACAATGTATTTGTAAGTAAATATAAGTTGGCATTTGATTTTGAATACAATGTAATGCGAAATGATATTGAGAAATGGTTGTAAACATGCAAACTTCAGCCTTTGGATTAAAGCATGGTATTCCATGATTACAGGGACTTCTAGTGTAACCAGCTGTCAACAATTATCTGTTGAGACCTGAACTAGCTATTGTTCACAGTTGCACAATGTAAACAACCAAAAATAATAAAACAATTAATATATTCAATTTAATTGATTGTGGAACTATGAATGTAAATTAATGAATAAAAAAAAGTGTAGTGAATTGTGTTTAGATATTACAGAATGCCTTGTAGGCGTTACATATTATTTTCTCATTTAATTTCACAATGAAAATATGTCAGGAGAGTTGGCAATGTTGTTTATATTTTTATTTCTTTACAATTTTATATACGTGCAAGGTGTATATATTATTAATCTAGATATACATATATTGTTATTTGTATGAGGTAATTTTACTATTGTTTATTAATAATTGAGTAATCAACTTCATAAGTGTTTTCCCGTGTTTATAAGGTGTCATTAAATGGTGTGACCACTTTTCAAATTGTATAAACTATGCTCTCATTTCTATATTTTGTTCTTCTATCTTTCATCTTCCAAAGTGTATATACATATTTGGCGCCATATGAAATATGAAAGCTGATATTAAATGACAAAAAGGTTGGTTTGGGGGGTTCTTTTTGTTGGAAAGTCAATGTTCATGTAATGTCAACACTTGCAATAAATTGAAATAAACTATTGAAAGTTCATTCATATTGTCTTTTTATAAACGCTTGTGAGCTATTGGTAAGGTTGTACATGCTATATCTCACAATGTCCCTTGGGAAATAGTTGAAACACTACATTCCGTCACACAAAATGCTTATCGATAACGTATTTTCTAATGTTCACTACAATTTAGGTGTAGGTATTATCGTGTCCGATATATCAGACCATTCTCCCATTTTTGTCTCCACCCCTTATTTAATAAAGAGTTTTAAACCAGATAGACATAATATGTGGGATTTACGTATAATGCTATAATACTCCGTTTTCGCCTCCTATAATACCTTTTTTAATTCAGACCTGCTCTATTGTGTTACTCAGTACGGGAGCCTATTCACATACAAGCTATTTTTTTTATTTAGGCTCCCCACATTTTACATTGTTTTGTTGTTTTTTTACCTTGCTTGTCATTTCTATATATTTCGAAACCTCGTACTTATTTTCCGTGCATTATACTTAATTTGAAATTTGTATTTATTTATTCATTTTTATTTTTTCGGTGAAATCTATACGCTTGTATAAAAAAAAAACTGTTTTTCAATATAAATGTGGAATAAATAAACTTCTTCAAACTTCAAAAACATCGACAGATATTATCTTGTTGAGTGGTCTGTATATGTCTCAATGCTACTGAAGCAAATCACGCATTAAATACCTTTATACAAATTTTATTTTCACTGCACACATCATCAAGATCAAAATATCAAACAATACCACAGGTTCTTTGGATCACAAGATCCTTACTCAAAGCAATTAATAGGATAACATACGGTATACTACCTTTAGCCTATATGAATTTTATTTCCACTGCAAACATCATTAAGATCAAAATAGCAAACAATACCACAGGTTCCTTGGGTCACAAGATCCTTACTCGAATTAATTAATAGGAAAAATAGTCAGAATATTCTACGTATCGCAATGTTAAACGTCTGTGTTCCAAGTTCACCAAAAAGACCAAGTCCACATGGAAAGTTATAAATAGTGTTCTTAAAACTTTTAACTCTTATCCTGCCACAGGGCTAATCCCCCAGTGCCAGATTTATAACGAGATAATCGGATTAACGCGATGGTACTAACAATAGAGCGTGCAAAACACTAGGCACAGTCCAATGGGCATGAACAATAACTGCTATTACGAATGCGTGCTAGCATGCAAGAAGCAAAGTAACAATAGCGTGCATGCAGCCTCATGGCAGGCTATTAGTTAAGAACACTATTTATAACTTTAGATGGAAAAAAGTATATTCATCAAATTATTCATGAATGAAACGAAATTTAAGGTTCACCTAGGTATCCCTACATTTCGTTTTAATCGTGTAACTACTGGCCAAAATTATATCTTAACTACAAATGAACATTTCCATTCATGTTTAATAAATCGAAATCCCCAATCCCTCTTCCTTTTCACGGTCATTAGAGCAGATATTATACAAATTTGTTAGCAACTAACTGGCGAAAAAAGGTTCGGGTTAAGATATGATTTGGAATAACAAATATTATACATATATATATATATATATATATATAGTGCCGTCTGTGACAAACTTAAACTGTCAAAGTAATACCTTTAAATAAAAAGGGAAAGAGGATGAGTTGGGAAACTATATCGTCCAGGATCACTCACTCAGGTTCCCGAATTATTGAAAAAAATTGTACATTCAACAGTACAGACGCTTCGAAAATTGATTTTCGTTCGCTCTTTCTGAACCACTCAACCATGGAGAAAAAAGTCAAGAGCGTATCAAGTAGGTCTACTTCATATTTATAACAAGCTGCAAACACATACGGTAGATTGTATACACACTGAGCAGGCAATAAATGATAGTGGGTTCTCGTCTGTCAGAGTTCCTGGCGCGGCGCTCCATAATAAATATAGCCTGCTCCAACTACAAACGGTTCTGTGTGCGGTTATAGGCTAATTGTTGAAGGAATCATGAAGAATATCGTGGCTATTTTGTGTGTTCTGCTGCACGTCTCTTCCAACTCAGCCTCAGGTAGGAATCATGTATTTTCAGTATCTCGTTTATGATTTATACCATAGCCGGAAATGTCATATCGAAAATATCGAATGATAAGCAGACAAGCAGTAGATGAATGCATTTTTGTTCTTTGGACTTTGGTCGTTGTGTTTTGGTGTGAATACCTGTGACCTGAAACCGTGTAGTGTGGGCAAAGAAAAGACGTAGAAGGAATGGAAGGATAGAGTGTGTGATTATACAGTGAGTGTGAGAGAAATAGATAGAGAGATAAAGCCTTGATGTAGAGAGAGAGAGAGAGAGAGAGAGAGATGAGTAGAGAGAGAGAGAGAGAGAGAGATGAGTAGAGAGAGAGAGAGAGAGAGATGAGTAGAGAGAGAGAGAGAGAGAGGAGTAGAGAGAGCTAGAGAGAGAGAGGAGTAGAGAGAGCTGGAGAGAGACTAGGAAAGAGATCGAGGGGTGTGTGTGTGTGTGTGTGTGTGGGTTGATGGTAGAGAGAGAGAGAGAGAGAGAGAGAGTATACACTCATTGTCAATGGCCTCCACTAGCCACTCGTAACAACGCAACCGTTTATACATGTTATCACATGACTGACTTATTATCATTATGATATCCGAGCTTATAATTATCGTCATGATGTCATACCTTAAAATAGTTGTTTCAGCACAGACTAAACAAGGGAAACTCAAATCACTGGCTAACACAAGTCATGGACAATTTGATGGGAAAGGGATAATATAGTGTGTCGGACCCACTTTGCATTCCAACAAGCTTTTCCCATTATTTTCTTCTCTCAAGCAATGAAATAAATGAATCATTACAAAATATAAACAAATGAAAAAATTGCCATCATGAAGGGATCTCGGCCGGAATGGATAGGTCCCCATACTGCCATAGGATGTTTCATCATGCCTTAAAATTGATCTTTGAATTGATCAGATTCGAAGTTGTCGGACCGATTTTACCAACAAGTTTTTCACCAAGCAGACAGAGCCTACTTATTGATAAATTTGGTAAATTATTATATCCATCCGGACTGGACAGATATAGGGTAGTCCCATATACATCTTTCTGTGTACAGTCAGGGGCGGATCTAGTTCTTTTGCCAAAGGGGGGGGGGGGGGGGGTTCCGAAAATCGCGCCGTTTTACTGTTTTTGAATTTTTTTCTTCTTCTTCCCCTCCCTTTTTTTTCTTTCTTCACTTGGCTGCCCAAAGGGGGGGGGGGGGAGGAGGATTAAACCGCCGAAACCCCCCTACTGATCCGCCCCTGACAGCGCTTAATTGTAACTTTACTTAGACTGGGTCAAATTTCTTATCATTTTGATGGTTCCAGAACCTTGCAGTAAAAAATAATACTTACATGCTAGATAATCAACCTTTTCTGATCGATTCCACATGTTTCTTTCACAATGCAATCGGATGACCAGAACTGGTCTATACCTTTAAATTCGGGATTATGAAGTGTAGAGCGCAATGCTGTCAAGCTAGTTTGATGCTATACATGAAGCAACTTAGCATTATTATTACCATTACCATCATTTTTATTTTCATCATTGTTTTTGTAATATTTTTTATTATTATTATTGTTATTATTATTAGTAGTAGTATTTTAATGGCTGTTATTATTATTCTTGTTATCATTTGAAGTAACACACTAGTACAATCCCAGCCTTAGACAATACCCATCATTTCTAACAGACTTAACACATTAGGCCTCTGATTTAATTATCACCAAATCAATCAGGCCAATCCTTATTTTTATATTTTATTTTTTTGCTATGTTTACAGCTTTGTCAGAGAAACCGAATGTTCTGTTCATCGTGATAGATGATTTACGAGCGTCCCTTGGATGCTATGGGGGTCCCATCATATCACCAAACATCGATCAACTTGCATCCAAATCTGCTCTCTTCACCAACGCCATGGTGCAGGTAAGGACAAGGGGGTTTAAAGGTATACACCAGTTTTGTAAATGCCCCCCTCTCAAAAAATGAAATGGAAGCTCTTATTACCAATCATGTGAAAGAATATGTTTTGACTAATACGTGACGACACAAATTTTGCCGGGAAACCGCCTACTAATTGATATATTTGGTAAATATCACATCGATCCAGCCTGAATAGATATAGCCTATTGCAAATGCACTTCAACATTGAACATCTAGGCATATATTTCTGCTTTTTTTTTGCGAATTTAGGTTGAAGTATTGCCATCTAAACCTCTGAAGGCAATATTTAAACAGGCAAAAATTGAATGGATATTTTGCACCCAAAACCCTTGAACTGCAATTGTACTCTTACCGGTCTATACCTTAAAATCAATAGGGTTTGATATTTTGTTAAAGACCATATCCGAACTCAAAAATGAAATGGATGAATAATACATCAATTATATGCCATTTTAGTGTCTGTCATCAGAGGAGTATTAGTTCTCTGGAAACTCAAAATCGAAGCTTTGAAAATCGAGAGTTGTCAACCTAAACAACTTGCTATCGACTTGATGACAGATCATCTTATGAGGAGTATGGTGGGGGAGGTACTAAAGGAAAAAAATTGAATAAATTTCCCTGAAAATTACAGTCCCGCCTGCCCTTTCCATGCCCTTAAGACGTTGTTTTTCATTTTTCACCCTCAACACCCTCTCTAGCAATCGGTGTGTGCCCCCAGTCGTACATCATTCTTGACGGGGCGTCGACCCGACACCACTCGGCTCTATGACTTCGGTTCTTACTGGAGGACACATGCAGGCAACTATACAACCCTACCACAGCACTTCAAAGAGAACGGATACTTCACAGCGTCAGTAGGAAAGGTTTTTCATCCAGGTATCGTCAATAAATAAGCCTCATAACACATACATATTAGAATACCTTTACCGGAGGTTTTACAAATTGGCTTATGCTGGCTGGTACTTTTCCTCCACAAACAGAAATCGCAAAGATAGTAACAATTAACAACTAACATTATGATGATGATGATGAAATTAAAAATAACAAAAATGATATCAACAATAATGATG